CTTTAATTATTAATTGTTTTTGGCTTTTAACTAGCTTTCAGTAACTGCTAGTACTCTCAAATCGTACTTTCGTGTTAATTTGACCTATTGACACAATTTGTAATGCATTTCTGTTATTCAATGTTTACTTATTAATTTTGTGTTATATCTCGTCTTACTATTTTTAATATGTACCACCTTTGATAAGTATTTAGTATGACGAACAAAAATTTCACTTCTGTACACGTACTATGAATAACAAACTTATTTTGTAAAAAATGTTTCTGTACTCCTAACAACAAACTTATTATATTGAAATTTACCTGTGTACTTTACTTTATTTAACGCCATTTTGTCCTAGGTTAAAGTTGTCTTTTTGACATTGAAACATCTTTTTAATTTATATTGTGTCATTGATCAAACTTATTCGTTCAGTGTTAATTTACTTGTTTTTGTGTATTGTCTTTTTGATAGAGTTAAGCCATTTCAATTGATATTTTATTGTGTGTCTTTTTATGTTGTAATGTTATACCACTGTTTTAGGTTAGGGTGAAGGTTGGCGACTGTTAAAACGTTTAAATCCGCTGCATTTTTATGCACCTGTCCTAAGTCAGGAGCCTGTTGTTCAGTGGTTGTCGTTTGTTGGTGTGGTTCACAAGTGTTTCTCATTTCTCGTTTTTTTTATATAGATTAGACCGTTGGTTTTCCTGTTTGAATTGTTTTACACAAGTCTTTTTGTGGCCCTTTATAGATTGCTGTTCGGTGTGAGCCAAGGCTCCGTGTTGAAGGCTTTTACCTATAATTGTTTACTTTTTACACATTTTGACTTGGATGGATATTTGTCTCATTGGCACTCAAACCACATCTTCTTATTTATATTTACATGTACACTGTGATGTTTATTGTTGTGATTATCAATTATGTCAATCAATTGTAACTGAATTTATGCCCTTTATGGGCCCTGTAATTTGGGAAATAAAAATATTCTATTCTATTCTATTCTATACTTATAAAACAGTACAACATAATCTCAGCAGAGCTTTTAAAACCGACATAAACACTACAGTAAACACAATTACATACATAAGACATATCATGCACAACAAAGATAAAAATTATTATATAGTTTACATCATTTGAAACATACAACTTTCTATACTGAGATACATGTCAGCTGAGATCACAAGTCATTTCGTTCATATTCAAGAGACTATGATACAATTTAGCACATATATTTAATTTATTTACATAAAGCTAAAGCACTAATTGCACATCGTGAATTCTTCAAATACAAGATAATTTATAAAAGACCTATCTCTGACAGAATGAGTCTTGTTAGGTTGAGTAACGAAAACGGGATTATATTTCTTTTGTCAACATTTGTTGTAGAGACGAGGTGAGGTGGTGTTACTAGCTTCAGTTACTGTACGGCTGGGACATAATATGTTAGTATAATAGTCCCAGCTGTACGGGACTGTATTATGTATTAAATATGAACTATGACATGTATGACGAATTTGTTCATTTAATGACTTCATGAATAATTCAAATTGATCATGTCGAATCGACAGGTGCTGCTACTTTTAAACTCGTAACTTATGTAACCAAAGTGTTGGTATGATAAAGAGCCAGAGAACTTTGTACCAAGTAAATATAGATTAAATTGGTACAGTACCCGGCACTGTGGCGCTCTTAAGTTACAATATAGCCTGAATTTTAATTCCAGGGTATTGATAATTAACCTTTTGTTCATACAGCATGTATTACTATATATACATATATATATGTGTGTCTCTGATACAATATAAAAATGAAAGGATATGGTATGATTAACAATGAGACAACTCTCCACCAGAGACCATATGGCATAGAATTTAACAAATATAGGTCACTGTAAGGCCTTCAACAATGAGCAAACCCAAACTGCATAGTAAGAAGCTATGATTAAAGGCCCCGAACTGACACATGTATTTTAACAATTGAAACGAAAAAACTAACGGCCTAATCTATGTACAAAACAAATATAATATAGAACAACAAACGGACAACACTGAACTACAGGCTCCTGACTTGGGGTAGGAACATACATGGCGGTGTATAACATGCGAGCGATCCTCACCTAACCTAGGACAGTGCTGAAACTCACACCACAAGAACAAACTATGCAAAACAATAAACGAAAAACAAATATGAGAAAACATAAAAAAACGACAACAACTTAATTACAAGCTTCTAACTTGGGACAAGCACAAGTAATGGAGAATGTGACAAGGTTAAACATGCTTGCTGGCGCCAAACACTTCCCTAACCTGGGAAAGTGATGAAACAGTACGACATAAGAACAAACTTTTAAAAATCAGTTGAAATGGGATCAGATCGTTACAAGACAAATAAAACCTTTTCATAAACACAAAAGACACAAAGTACACATCCGAGAGTACTCGCAGTTAACTGAAAGCTAGTTCAAAGCCAATAACAACTAATAAAAATCATGTGTCTAAGACTGATATATCAATCAATACACATCCAACATTTTATGGATTTAGTTTAAAGACGTAATTAACAGTCAGAGAAATATATGACCTTGTGCAATGCCAAAATATAGGTATCGACAGATTGTAGAACCGTGATTGTACATGTGTATAACAATGGTATTTAGGTTGGTTTTAATCTACTGATAACAAAATCAATATTCATACCGATAAAAACAATATTCAAAGATCTAATTACAGTGTTGAATTGGTAACCTTCTATACTTTATTTAAACGATAAGTTTACCCGGATCCTATCTTAATTTACGGGCTCGGTAAACAACATTACCGTAAAAATTTGAATGTGCTATACGTACCGTTTCTAATAAGTCTTCTACAGGTAAAGCCAAAACTAGATTACGTTCACTGAAATCAAAAACGTCACTACAGACACGGGCATAGCGAACGAGTCTAGTGATATTTAAACACCGTAGGATGGTGCAAAACGAACATCACTGTCCAAAAAAGGAAAATTTACAATAGAAAACGAAAAATCGTTCATTTGTCGTAAATTTTTGTGTAGAGTTCGCGTGTAAAACTGAAATAATTAAATCTAGGAAAGGACAGTTATTGCTATTTATATTTGGTTTATCTAAAGTAAGTTCCTTTGGTTAAATTCCGGCAGTATATTTAGAAAATTCTTGCATGATTATTCATAGGCGGATCCAGGGGGCTCTGGGGGGCCCGTCCCTCCCCCCTTTTGTGGGAAAAATTTGGTTGATTATATAGGGAATCACTGAAGCATGACTGGAGCGGGCCCCCCTTAGGTCAGTCGGTGCCACCCACCCCCACCCCCCACACCTTACAAAAAGTTCTGGATCCGCCACTGTTATTTAACGACAAAATATCATCAATATAACGGTAAGTGTTTTTGAATTTATTTATTAAATGCAATTAAGATAGGTCTTTACTGAGTTTGGCCATAAACTGTGATGCATTAAAGTACAAGAACGAGTCTGATATTAAAGGGCCGCAATTAATACCCGTTAATATTAATAATTGTCATAATTTCGTAAAATCAAACTGGAGATCACGGTTTGTTTTTAAAGTGTAACGAGTACTGTATAGTAAAGGGTATTGCATTTTTCTTGCCTAAACGTTTTACACAACATCAATTTTCAAATTTGTTAGATACAATATGTCTCTGATACAAGTAACGAAATTATACACGCATGATTTATTTTTTCAAAATATTTCGGCAGTTTCCTTATTGTTTTTAAATAGAATATAAAAGATATTTCGACTTTTTTGGGATGGCCTATTTTAAAATATTATTTGAACTCAAACATACATATAGAATAGGGTGTTGATTTTTCCATTATCAAATATTGATACCAATTAAGGATTAAATTTGTAGAAAAGAGTGGCGAGTAGGCAGTAGGACGTGTTTGTCTTTTCCTTCATTAGTCACACATTGAATCGTTCCTATCCCCGTACTTTAATATCCCCTTTGACGAAGATCGAAAAAAGAAAACATTATACATTGTAGGTATTTTATTGAACAAAGTGTATGCACAATTAATATTTGATAGACTTACTTAAGCAGTTACATTATTATTGATTAGGGTTTAGTTTTGAGAGCGATTTGAATTAGCGATATATAATGTTCAGTAAGTTTTATGGCAAAATCCTATCACCTTTCGCTTTTGCGGTTTGAAGATCATACATGTACCTCTCTCCACAAAAAACACTCATCAGATGGCGGCATTACATTTAGAATACCATAGTACATTGGACTTCATATGGTGTTAAGGGGACAACCTTTTTATGGGGTGGGGAGAAATCCATGACAGTCCGTTTGCCACGACTTACGTTCACCACGGTCTACGTTCACCCTGTGCCTGTTTGCCCTAAAACACCTTCGCTAAGGTTCTTAGTTTATTCACTGTCTTGTAGTATAATGGTATGATATATCATTTGAATAAAGGAATATAAGATAGTACTTAAGATGGATCCTGTAATTTGATCTCAACAAGATATATGGTCATAAATCACAGGCACTTGTCTCTGAAAAAAAATTTCACAAGGTACTAACTCGCATTTTTGAAAAATGACAATTGGTCGTGAACTTTTGTTATATTTCGATTCCTCGGTTGTCTACCCCACTAAAACTTATTATGCCATAATTAGGCATTAATGTACATTGATTTATCTACACAATGGTATATGACACGCCTGCCTTTGTTGTTTGAATCATTCGTAGCAGGCCTCACAAGTATGTCAACTGTAATTATTTTGTCTTCTCACAGCCCTTTGGAAATATAAAGAAAAAATTTTCAGAGACAAGTGCCTGTGTCATAAATGCATTATCAAAATTTCAGAAGATTGTAAATTTTATGCATAAACAGTCGCCAATTTATAATGGACCCTGTATATTTGCATTTACAGTAACCTGTAAATGCATTTAAGTCAGATTTTTATTAGCAATTCTCATGTACCCAATGAAAATGCATTATCATTGCAGGGTTCTCACTAAGGATTTTTAAAGTTGAGTCCAGGGACATTGTCTTTTTGGCCATGGCGAGTCCAGCAGTGAGAAGATAAAATTTAATTGGTATAAAATTTATTATTCCAGTCTTCATGACAAAAAAGAGCAAGAAAATGCTGTCAAATTTAGATTATTTTTAAACTTTTGTTATAAAATGATGATTTAAGTGTTCAATTGATACAACATGTACAACAATTTACAATTTTGGTGCCTCTTTGGACTCACCAGTTTTGAAAATGATGAGTCCTAACAGATTTTCGTGAGTCCAGGACTCATGGACTCGCCTTAGTGAGAACCCTGATCATTGAAATGACTATTATATTGTCCAATTAGATCCATTGGAACAAACAAAAATAAACTTTAACCCGCAATTTTAAAAATAAAAAGATTCAGTTTATTTATTTGATGCCGATTATGAATAAAATTAAAAACTTGTAATGGCTGTTTCGGTTGTTACATGTATAAACAATCATCAATGAGACACACACACCAAAAAAACTACAAAGACATATATAGACTTATGACCCACAATGGAATGTCAAAACTGCATGAGACTACTATATAGAAGTCTTAGGTTAGAAGTAGTTCAGAAGAAATATTACAGCATTCAACAATGAACAAAATCCATATAGCATCTCTACCATACAAATCATGCAAATGTACATGTAGTTATAGTGTGTTGAAAATTTTGAAAAAGGGGATGCTGAAATATGTTATTATATGTTTGGCACACTGATTTTTGTCAAAAATGTCAAAAATGTTATAAATATGTTCATGATGTTGTCTGGCTCCTACCAGTTTATTAGTTTCGTATGATTTGTACTGAAGTATTCAGGAATACAAATTTAAAGTATGTAACCCTTACCGTGTGGGGGCCGTAATATTACAGCCTCCACCCAAAATACCGTTTTTTTTGCTCCAATAGCTCTCCATACTTTTAGAGGTCAATCATATGGTATTTATTTAAAAATTGATGCATGTTCCCTCAACCTTAAGATATTTATTGTCATGTTTCTCAGGTTTAAGGTGCAGTTTGAGTCCACTGTTTATTTCTGGAGGGATGGGCTTCTACGGTGTCTGGGACACACAGTACAGAGGCATGAAACTTCGGAAAATAGTTTCAACCCGCTGGCATATAACTACTGTTTGTGTTTATTATTAAAATATGCTTATAGAATGACTACTTGCGGTAGCAGGTTCAGGAAAATCAGGAAAATTGTCAAATTCCGGAATTTTGGTGGAAATGCCCAAGGGCATATAACCACTGTTCCAGTTTATTATTGAAATATATATGCTTATAGAATGACTCTCTGGTTGGAAAAATTGTCAAATTTTGGATTTTTGGTGGAAATGACCTTTTTAAGACTACCATACTTACAAATGTAGATCAGGTTCACTCCGAACTCAGCACTTTTGGGGTCAATGTGTCCACTGGGGTCCACTCTACATGCAGACTTCAGTGAGACACATCTATCAGCATTCCTTCTGTCTTCCAGGTCAAGAAATAGGATGAAAAATCGTCAAAATTGATGCTTTTTGCACCTAATGAGCTACTTTGGGCAATGACCATGATGACTGAAGACCTATTTGTACATACATTGTTTTTTCTCATTCAAGCTGACTTGTCTACTTTAAAAAATCTTTTTTTGTCATTATTAAACCACCAAAAATGAAAACATAATAAATACAACAATTAGTGCATCAAAGATATCGTAATTATACATGTATACCTAATCAGCATTCTAAATTATAATAAACACTAAAACAGAAACAAATGTAACAGTGAGTCCAATTTTTGCTTGAAAACAATAATTTTTAATATATTTCCATGTTTTTTCTCGAATTTGAGATATATGTTTAATTTTGAGAGTAAAATATCATAACACCTAAATCAAAAAAATAGGATGAACAGACCCAATACCTGGGGGGGTGGGGGATTTTGAAAATTAATATATTCTAGCCTGGTAGGAGCTGAAAATTAATAATTTAGTCCAAGACAGGATGAAAACGCTTATTCTGCAACACAAAATGCAGGATATAAACATGATAAACATGATAAATGTATACAAAAGTGAAAAATAAATATGAGTAGCAACAGATGAAAATGATTTAAATCTGCACAAAAAATCCACCTTCCAAAAACAGCTTTAGAATTTTGAAGAAATGAGAATATGATTGGATCATTTGACAAACATGTATATACCATGTAATGTAACGGTCCCCTTCTCCATTCTCTGCTTGCCACAAAATAGCAAAATAAGATTTTAATTTTTCAAGGATGAGGGATTGACTGAAAGGATGGTGGTCCCGAAGGAGCTTTTATGGAGTAATAGGGAATCTCAAATTATATAGGACAGGGCAAAACATGTAGGGTTTTTTAAATATCTTCGCAAATAGATTATGAAATCTCCAAATTTCTTATCTGGTACATGTAGCTTAATTTACAAATAGCTAGGTTACTGACAGATTAATCAACCCTGGAGCTTAGCTGTAAATTAATATACCAACCATACAGTTTGTACCTGTCGAGATTAGATATACATGTACCATGTGTACCGGGGTATATCACTCATTGGAAAATGCTAGGAAATTGTTGATTTGTACTTTTGTGACTTTTACTTACATATTAGTCCAGAGTTTCAGAATATCATTTGAAAGACCTTTAGAGAGAATTGTTTTTTGTTTCAGATGAAGACTCTCAAGGTATCAGAAGAAATGGGGTAGTGGAATGGTTTTATAAATGTGCAAAGAGTGACCAGAATGAACATTGTTATTGTGAATAGGAAATGAAAGCAGTAAACAGAAGCCAGTTTTATACTGATAATGGGGAATGCTAGCAGTAACCAGAAAGAAGATCTCTGTGCAAATCGACACAGTTATTATACTAAGTTATTATCTGCACCACCATTATGGTCAACTCAAACATCATACAGTAAATGGGCTAAGCAGTACAAAAATGTGGAAGGGTTTACTGATTTTGCTGATTTTACAACATGTCGTGAAGCAAGAAAACGTCATGGCATATTAGTCAAACCAGACACATACGATGGGAGGCAGCTCGTATCCCAGTTGAAATCAAAATCAGAATTAACTTTGATTGAAAAACAAAAATGGAAGCTTTCTTCATTTAAACTTCCCAGAATTCCCTTGACTGGATTAGAAGATCCTTACTGGCTTCATAGCCGACACAACAGGAACAGACGCGAATGCAGTGTTATTGGTTACCATGACACCATGGCAGTTCTTCAAATTAACACAAATAGATATCACTTGTCACCAAGGTTTTACATTTTAGACTTGGAATGTAAACAAGTTTTAGGACATTTTGTTGTGTTTTACCATTGTAAGAGATGGTACGAGTGCTATATCTCTCCTAATAAACAACAGTTGTTGATACGCCCTGATAACTTAACTAGAATTGTTTCGCTGCCAGATAATTACATGATAGAGAATATATCATTGATGCAGCATGCATCAAAACTCAGGATTAATGCGGTACCTCCAACACTCAGAGCCCATGTGCTAGCATTCAACTCTCAAGCAGGGGACAATTTTGTTTTGACTGCTTTTTACAAGGAAATAGAACTGAGATCTATTGGTGACTGGAATGTTGTCAGGAAGAGTGGTACCTTTCGTCTCCCAGCATCAATTCAGCAGATAAAATCAAGTCCCTTAGGTGACTATATAGTTGTTAGATGTGTTCATCCTCTTTATAATAAAGAGTATCGGACAAATATTGTTGCAGTTATAAGTTATGTCAACTTTGAACTGTTGCTCCGAATTGATGTCCGAGGGTGCTACTGGCCTGCAAGTGAGGTCATCAATTTACAAGTCTTCCCATACTTTTCACCAAGTGAAGCTACGATAGCTGTAATGAAAAACCATGCGTACAATCGTAAAGTGATAACACAGAAACTGCCCATTGTAAGACTAAACCTGCAATATTTGTGCCGTAGAGCTATTCTTCATCTAGTGAGTTACCGTGATGTGGGTAAATTGCCACTTCCTGCACAGTTAGTTGATTACATTCAAGGCAAGCCACACAAAATCTGCAATGTGTAAACCAAATGAAGTAGAACATTTATGCAATGATTGGCAGGTCCAAGCCAATAAGAATTTGTTAAGGCCAGTTACTTATTCAATATTTTTCACTTGAAATTTAAGAGAAATTATGTACCAGAGACATATGCCATGTATGCTGTAAAGCAACTCATTTTTGTGCATACTCTATTTCGCATCAAGTTCTTTTTAGAGTACTTTGCAGCTTTTTGTTTTTGGCGATCTTCTCATTTCGTGATATATTTATATATAAGGGAAGATCCAAGTTACACATATTTGCGGCAATATAAAATTTAATTTGCGTACTTTTCTACTCGAGAAACAAAAATCGCACATGTTTACAGTAATACGTTAATATGCATTATATGTCTCTGTATGTACAAATGAACATGTTTTTTTAAAGTGTTATTACTGTTAATATCAAATCTTTCAATATTGTAATATTGACAAGTGTTAGAAGACTGTATTTTTCTTGATATTCAAAATGTGATGTTAAATGTTAAACTGCTAAAATGGCTTGAATTCAAATATTCTCACTTTGCATCCAAATGTCCCTAGAATGCACAATTTTCCATCCTTGCTTAAGATGTGGAGGGCAACTTTGCAGAGTCCAGACAGGGCCAGACCCCTTCTGCCACTTTGAATTGAAAATCAGAAAAGGGTTGGAGTGTAAGTTGTAAGAGAAAATCAGTTGGAATAATAAAAAGAAAACTCACATTTTATAAAAAAAAAAAAAAATATATAAAATAAGGGTGCTGTATTCACATGATTCAGGAACTTTGAGAGTAAAATGATATTAAATTTTTTACAGTCATGACAGTTTTTATAATTTTTTTGCTCAACAAGGGATTTATAAACATAACTACAACAAAACTCACTTGTACAATGTTGTATTATTATTATATTTTTTTATTTAAGTAGACCATGTAATCCACTTCATAATTGAATAAAAACATTCTAAAAAAAGAAATGCAATTGTAGTGAGTCATGACAGCAATTTAAAGATGAAAATTTTCACTAAATTATAAGTCAAACAGGTACATGTAAAATGCTTATTTATTCCTAGTCAATATTCTTGCTTTTTTATATACACAAGATATACATGTATGTATTTGCACTTTTTATAGATTATAACTCAGCCAATATATACATGATATATATATATATACACACACCATTTGTACATATATGTACTTTTGTTAATTTGTTTATTGTTCAAAGAAAATGTTAATTGTTTTCTAATTGAATGATTTCCAGTACATGTAAATATTTCATTGGTGTATTTTTAGCACAAATATCGTCATTAGACGGGACTTAAGCAGTTTTGGATTGCATGTACAAAGTATTTTTAGTTAATCAACCCTGGCTTTCAACTGATGAATTTTACATGAATTTGTCCTCATGGTTTTAGAAACAAGAGATTTGGGAGAAAAGGAAATACAGATAGATTAATACGCACAAGATTATTTGAATATTTTTGTTAAAAAAAAAACAACATACCAGACCTTATCCATTGTTATCCGGCTCATGCTAAATTTAGTAAATCAATATACAGTACACTATATATATATATATCAATAATTCGTATTTATATGCTGATATTTAAGCTTTATTGATGACACTTGAACTAAATTGAAAAAAACGGAAAGGGTACTTTTTGAAAATGCAAAAGGCCACTAGATCATTTTATTGATATCATAGATTGCACTTTCATCATAAAAAAACAATTATAAATGGTGTTTTTCTTTTACCAAAAAATGATTTATAGGCCTAATCTTTAGGCCTCTTCTAGTCCAGGACTGCTCTGGCATCTGAAAGCCTTTTATGGACTTCAGGATTTGGGATGTGGGACTTGATCAAGACCCCAACAAGTCTTAAAAAGGCTGTCAGATGTCAGAGCAATCTAGTCCTCTTCATCTTCTTGAACATAGACCTGATATTAGTCATCGGTAAACTTTTAAAGTGCATTTATTATATGCTGTTTTTTCATTTCTTGTACATGTTGTAAACTCCTGTGTTTGTAAATTTAAACTGCAATAGGTTGATTATTCCTGTAAGTGTGTCATGTGTATGTATATTACACACTGTTATGGTGGCGATCTTTCTGTATCTTACTCAGGTTATATTGACAGCGTCATGCAGGGGCGGATCCAGGAGTTTTGAAAGGGGGCGTAATTCCATATAAGGAATAACCTTTTTTTGGATGACTTATTCTAAAATATCATATAAATCGTGAAAAAACATGACATAATTATTTTGGGGGTCTATCAAAGGGGGGTGTGCACCCTCTATTCACCCTGGATTTGCCACTCACATGAATAAGTGTTATAACCTCTGATCAACAGCAATTACTGATTCACCTTATGTACCAGAATATGAACATGATTAAGTGAGCTCATTGGCATTTTGTTTAAATTAAAATTTTAAATCTAATTGCATGTGTTCCAAGACATTAAGCTACTTGACATTTTTTTTTAATTCAAAATTATTTTTTTATGTAACTTCACAGGCAAATTTTATTCTCTTGATATAAAGGTGAATTTCACATGAAAAAAATAACATGGAAAAGGAGTAAGTTTGGTAAGGGTCTTATATGGCCCCTGAATAGACATGTAAGAAAGTAAGATAGTTTTATTTTGAAGCATTGATTTTTACATCCCATATAGGCCAACAATAGAGATTTTTTGTAAATTTGACAAAATAATCCTGATCTCAACCAAATTTAGGCCTAGGAAATGTAGAGTGTGGGCTTTGAGAAACTAAATATTCAAGTCAGATATATGTAAAATGTTATAACAAAAATTATGTTAAAATATTTTTTGTAGATGCATGTGCTCTATATTTCCTATCCAAGAAATTAATGTAAATTTACCCGTTTTTATTGAATATTGGTGGAACATCAAAAAGAGTGCTATTTGTGATACCATGAAAAGAATGCCAGGATTTGAAAAAGGCGGGGGCCTCCCAGGAAGCCAACATTTGGAGTGATACTTGTGGTATATATCATATATGAAGCTCCATAAGGAAGAGCTGGGCCCTTTAAACTTTAAATTTGTTCTATATTAGCATAAAAATGGTCACCCTTAGCTAACATATGTATTTCGAAATATATATGAAGCATAGATATATACTTTAAATGTGTGTAATCAATCATTTAGAAAGATGATGTGGTGCATCCTTTTTGGCCTAAACAATGAAGTATTACAAAATCAGATTATTTTATCTGTTAAAAGAGAATTGTAAAATATGTGCAAAGTTTTAGTACTAAAATCTTAGAAATATCATGAATATTTACAGAGATTTTATGGTCGAAATTTTTCTACCAAAAAATGGTCAAATTGACATTTTTTCACACAGATTTGTGATTGGGAAATAACGAGTGCATGCAAGTATATGTACATGTACCACAAACATTGTAACATGAAATGTGCTGTTCATAGAGACAAACACAGTGGTAAATTATTTTGTTTGTACTTGCATGTACTCAATATTTGCAGGTCCAAAAACTATCTGACAAATGACCAAAAGTTATGTAATTTTCACGAAAAAGCATGGAAAGGCCTTTTTATTGCCGTCTCAAGGGCATATATTGTGAAGTCATGGATTACAAACTAATTACTTTTAATTATGCATTACTACAACTTTAAAACGGACATCTTAAATTAAAGATTTAAAATTATGAAGTAAAAAAAAATATGCCAAAAAAGCTCTTATAATACTCTGTCCTTTATCTTATAATGTTTATAAAAATTTGAGGCATACAATTTGAAATATATCCAGTCATGTTTTAGTTGACTCTTGGACAAGTTACGGTGCTATCTTATAGAAGGCGGTAATGGAATGTGCATTGAAGAACATTAATATTTTATGTATGCTTTATGGAGTACATGTAGTACTTTAATATTTTGCCACCAAATGTTTATGCTTTAACTATTGTACTTTAGATTATGGGCACTTTTATTTAAGAATAAAATTTGTTAATATTTTTTGATGGATTGTGTTGAAAGTGAGACATAGGTAATGTCTTTAAAAAAGTGACAACTAACAAATTAAGAAGTTTTCCAAAGTTTTTTTTTATAACAGAATGTATAATTTTTATTTCCAGTAGACATCTAATGCTTTTAGGTTTCTGACTGGCAGTGGCAGATTTAATGTGGACAGTATATCCCCCCTTTATTGAGCTGCATATATGGTTAATATAAAAAAGAAGATGTGGTATGATTGCCAATGAGACAACTCTCCACAAGAGACCAAATGACACAGAAATTAACAACTATAGGTCACCGTACGGCCTTCAACAATGAGCAAAGCCCATACCGCACAGACAGCTATAAAAGGCCCCTAAATGACAATGTAAAACTCCAGGCTTCATTGTTTTGAAGTGCTAGTATCAACATATTCGGCTTCCTTCAGTTTATAAGGAAAGGCAAAAGAAGTAAAATTAATGCATAGATTTTGACATGTCCCATTCAAAACGTTGCCAGTTTTGGAGCCCCAGGCTCCCCTTTTTCAAAATCCTGGATCCGCATCTGACTTGCATATACACAAAAACTCTTTAAAATAATCTGAAGCTTTCAACCGTTCATGACTGTCTTCTTCTGCTGTCCTTATTTGTTGGTACAGTAACAACTTTTATCATGCAAGACATAGGGATTACAATCCGTAGGCAACTAGGGCGGAAAACGTTGTGTATAAAGCTTTATATTCCGGAAGGTAGAAGACCTGGATGCTTCTTACCTTGTATGCAGATACCACATGTTTCGAAGTTTCCGTCTGCCATTATGTTCATTGTCCTTGACCTCATTTTCATGGTTTACTGACTGCTTGAAAAAATGTAAAGATTCTTAGCTCTAGATGCTCTCTTATTATGGGTAATTGGATACCTAGATTTAGTATATAGGATCCTTGCAATGTCTACTTGGTCATCAAACAGGGTTCACCTAACCTCGACCTTATTTCATGGAATAGCGATCAAGGTTAAGTTTTTGTGGTCAAGTTAGTATCTCAGACACTATAAGCAATAGGTAAACTTAATTTGGTGTCATGTCCGACGGCAGGTTTCGTATTGCTAGACTTTATTTTCATGGTTCTTTGATTGATGTGAAGCTGTTTGTTGTTTGGTCAGAAACAGGTACTATTAGTAATAGGGCCATTATTTTTAGATCAAGTTTGAATTTTGGTGGCGTCACTTAAACCGTTCTAGAGTTATGCCCCTTTATAAATGTAAAAATTGCAAAATTTTTATTTTCTTCTAAATATCAAGTAATTTTTATACGACCGCAAAAAAATTTTGTGGTCGTATATTGGTATGACGTTGGCGTCGTCATCGTAGTCTGTCATCGTCGACGTCGTCCTAAGACACATTGGTTTTCGCACTCTAACTTTCGTTTAAGTGAATAGATCTCTATGAAATTTTACCATAAGGTTCAATACCACTAAAGGAAGGTTGGGATTGATTTTGGGGGTTATGGTACCAACAGTTAAGGAATTGGGGGCCAAAAAGAGGCCAAAAAATAAGCATTTTTGTAACTTCCAGACATAACTTGTGTGTTAGTGTATGGATCTCTCTGACATTGTACCACAAGGTTCCATATCACAAAGGGAATGCTGGGATTGATTATGGGGGTAATTACCTCAAAATTTTAGGAATAAGGGGCCAAAAAAGGGGCAAAAAACAAGCATTTTTCTAGTTTCATGACAATAACTTGTGTGTAAGTGTATGGATCTTTCTGAAATTGTACTACAAGGTTCCATATCACAAAGGGAAAGCTGGAATTGAGTTTGGGGGTAATTCCTCAAAACGTTTAGGAGTTAGGGGCCAAAAATAAGCATTTTTCTAGTTTCCAGACAATAACTTGTGTTCAAGTGTATGGATCTCTCTGAAATTGTACTGCAAGGTACCATATCACAAGGGAAAGGCTGGGATTGATTTTGGGGGTAATTGCCCAAAACGTTTAGGAATAAGGGGCCTAAAAACAAGCATTTTTCTAGTTTCATGACAATAACTTGTGTTCAAGTGTATGGATCTCTCTGAAATTGTACTGCAAAGTACCATACCACAAAGGGAAGGCTGGGATTGAGTTTGGGGTGATGAATCATAAGGGGGTTCAAAAAATTTGGGGGAGGGATTTTTTTTTCCTTTTTTTCCTTTTTTTTTCTTTAAAATTTTCCAGTTTAAATTGGTTATTTCTGATTTATATATAAAAGCAAATAATAATGATATGGTTTGAATAGGTAAATTAAAAATTTTTAAGTTCTTAGACCACATTCATTCTGTGTCAGAAACCTATGCTGTGTCAAATATTTAATCACAATCCAAATTCAGTGCTGTATCAAGCTTGAATGTTGTGTCCATACTTACCCCAACTGTTCAGGGTTCGACCTCTGCGGTCGTATCAAGCTGCGTCCAGTGGAGCATTTTATTAAAATTAGAGTTATCTTCCTTTGTCCATGATTATAGTTGAATCTACTACAATCAATGCTTTATACAATGCAATGTTTAATTTT